TGTGGCACAATTTTACACATTTCGTTATACATTTCACTCTTAATTTCATTTACTAGCCAAAAGAATTAAAAGGATCAAGTACGTCAGACATGGTTGCGTCAGGAAACATGGTTACTGGCAAATTGCTAGATAGATTTATTTAACGCTTATAAATAGAATCCCAAGCAAGCTCACTAATCCACAATCCACAATTCCCATTGACAGGCTCCACAGAATGAGACAGAAATCCAGCTTCCAAGCAATGCATGACTCTTGTGCAAAGGAATTTTATGACAGAAAAAAATAATCAGAGATGTAACTCATCGAACAATCTACACTCCCGCTGACAAAGAAACCTGCATCTTCACGGTCACCCATAAGATCCCACACCTTACTTCTAATAGGTGTAGATTGTTACTTGGTCGACGGCAAACGACAGCTCGCAGACGGCGGCAGACGGCGGCAGATGTGAAGGCTGAAATCTGAACTGAAGTGACTAATCCGGCAGACCAGCAACCGCAAGCAAGAGAGAAGACTTGAAGGCTGAACCGCTGAAGCTGAAGGTTGAAGGAGATTTGACTTCTGAGATCGCGAATGGAGGACAGGAGGAGGAGGACTGGACTGGAGAGTGGAGATCGCGAAGACTTGCAGGCAGCAGACCACCCACAGCAAGGAAGAAGCACTGAAGCAGAGTAGTAGACCGAAGACTTGAAGAGTGAAGAGTGAAGAGTGAAGACTTGAAGGCTGAACCGTTGAAGCTGAAGCTTGAAGGAGATCTGACTTCTGAGATCGCGAATGGGGGACAGGAGGAGGACTGGAGTCAGTAGCTCAAAGCTCAAATGCAAATTGAAAATGAATTAAAAAATTTGGCACTTTTGACTTTTTGTTTGTGCGAATGTAGTTTTTTTTTTTTTTTTTTTTTTTTTTTTTAATTTCTTATTTCATATGATTAAACCGGATTGGGTGTGGACCGGAATTCTTTTTAATACCGGTTGGACCGTCGGTTTGCTATAGTGCGATGGTCCAACCGCGGTTTGAAATGGTTTGACTTAAAATCTCAGTTTTTTGCTCTTTTCAAACCGGAAATCTAAACAAAACCCGATCGAACCGGTTCGACCACCTATCCAGTCCGGGTTTCAGAATATTGGTTTAAGATGCATGATTGCAATCCTATAAGCGCACCAATAGAGTGAGGAATCAAATTATCCAATAAGCACGGTGAAGGAGAAAGAATAAATCCAACTCTCCTCAAGAGCCTAATTAGAAGCTTGTGCTGGTTTACTTGTACTTGTATCAGACTTAACATTCTCTATGTCGTTGGGTTAGTTAATCATTATATGGAAACCCCAACAACAACTTATTTCAAGGTTGCAAAGAGAATCCTTCTCTACCTTAAAGTTACAATCTACTTTGGCTTGTTTTATTCATTTTCAAAGGAGTACTTTTATCTCATTTGAAACTAGAGAGTATTGGCCTGTGTGATTTCCACATAATACAAAACAAACCAATAACAACTGCACCAAATAAGTAGACATTATTGGTGATCTTGATATAAAACTGTTTTTTGATGCCCTCCACTTTCCCCTAAATTCAATATTAAAGTTTAGGATAGTAGACTACATTAAGATGAAAACATGAAAACGGAGAGGAAGTACCTCAAAGAATATTTATGGAAAGAACCAGAGAAATGATTTGATAACATATCTAAACCCCTCTGCACCACCAGTATTATAGTCTACATTCTCCGAGCCTCTACTTCACCCTTCCATTAATCATAGGATAAAAAAAAAAATGATTAGCTAATTTGAAAACCTTTGTGTGACACAAGATCAAAATGCATACATTTTGAAATCTTTAATATGTAAAAGTTAAGTGCCTCCTGTAAAAACACGAACAAACCGAAACCAAAAGAACAACATAATGACTATAGAATCACAAATAGAAGTGAAAGAATACATAAGTAAATGAAAGAAAGAGAGAGAAGAAGAAAAAGAGTAGTTACCATTCATACTGAGCCTCTTCTTAGAATCTTGCAGAATCTGCATATACCAGAATGAGCAAATCATCATAAGAGAATTGGAGCTAGTTGGACCATGTCAGAACAAGATCAGTTATATTTTTAGTAGGAAGAACAGAAGTTAACAATCATTATGCTAATGGACAGAGAAAACACAACTATCAGACATATCCATCAGAAAATAAAAATAATTATTTTATTATTGTACTTCACAATCCAACCAAAGCTACAAACCTCATAAGCATCTCTTATCTCTTGAAATTCACTCTTTGCAAAAGATATTCTATTTGCATCTGGATGATACTTCTTGGCAAGCTGCACATTTTTGTGGATGCCAACATCTTAGACAATAGCCATAAAAATAAAAGGTCTGTTAGATGATATAATCACATTAAACCAAGTGCAGACATGATTTCCCAATGGCATAAGTGGTAGAAAAATATCTGGCAACGCTGCCAACCTCAATATACCCCAGATTCATAGTACTAGTAAATTAGATGCATCTCCGGTGCCTTTCACTTCCATTAAGGTTCCACACAAGAAAACTACTATCTAATAAGTAAAAATAGCCCACATAGTTTTCACCCAAACACTAAAGCCACCTTTTTAAAGAGCTAAGGAAAAATTAAGCCACTGACCCCATAAAGAACAGCTACCAGTGATTGCAAGATGCCAGAAAGAAAGAACAATCCATCAGAAGATGTTTTACACTACAGTAAGGGATTTCTTATGATTAAAATGTAATTCCCTAACTTAAAAGCATATTAAGTGCTCAAATACTCATGCATAAACGCCTTTTTTATCTCATCCTGGCTCGCATTTTTAGGAACACCAAGAACTTCGTAGTAGTCTCGCTGATTGGAGTAGCAAGATCCTGAAAATACATTACAATAGAATAATAAGAACCCAACATATAGAATGCTCACTAAAAAATGGTGAAGAAATACAACAAAAACCTGTAGCATGATACAGCGCTTCGCCAATAACATTCCCTGGTTGCAAATCAGCATGTTTCTGAATAACAAAGGGAACAGAAATCACTCATCTTAATAGCATTTTAAGAAATCTTCTACTTCTCCTCCAACATAAAATCCAAAAAGTAACTAAACAACAGCTCCACGAAACCAAGCTTTTCTCCCCACCAATCAGTGTTGACAACAATCGCGTTGTGAGAGCACCTGAGTGATGAAGTTGAAAAGAAAGAATTAAAAGTTAAAACCCTAAATTGAAATATTATTGACAACAATAATCCTGACCTTGAGCCGTGAAGTGGTTTAGAATGAATCAGCGTGTAGAGAGCTTCTGCGATTCAGGGAAAAAAATTTGTTTTTTGGCGGGAGAATTTTGGGCAGTAGATAAGGTTTTTTAGGGGAAGTCCGTGTGTTTCCATATTTGACATGTATCCTATCCCCAGAATAACTGTTTGATCATTATCAAATACTATTATATTTATTCAATTATTTTTAAATCTCTAAGTTTATTATTTAATTAAATACCTTTAAAAAAATTTAAAAATTACACAAACACTCCTACCTATCTACATTTATCAGATTTTGACCACCACCATCAAAATAGACCAGAATCTGGTATAATGACACACTATGAGCTGGATCTGACCGATAATGTACGGAAAAATGCTAATCTACTACTATCAAAGATCTGGCTGTTATCTTTGGTTGTAGCTGTGTCAACGACAGCCATCTTTGGTCGTCGCTGATGGCCAGATTTGATTATCGACAGCCAAAATAGTCGTAATCTAACCTTTTCCAATCAATCCGTAGTGGGTCTGGCCATAAATGTCATATCCGCACACGAACGGCTAGATCCGACATCTCGTGCACCGTAATGCCAATTCCGACGATGGCTTGAATCTGGCAATTGTGGGTGGTATGTTTTGTCATTTTATAAAAATTTATATATTGGGGTGTTCATAATAAATTACAATCTAGAGGGCTGTTTTATTAATTTTTAAATCTTACCTCGTTATTCTCACCCAACTCTAAAATATCAAAAATCTTATCCAAAATAATGAACAAACTGTTGTTTATTTTATTTTATTGTATATTTTAATTTTTATAACCCTAAACCTTTGCCTTCATGAAAAAAAAAAAAAAAAAGGTGAAATGGGTGGGAAATTTGCCTTAGGGAACTTTGACTTTTGAGCGGTGGGAAGCTTTTGCCTCAATGAATTTTTTTTTTTTTTTTTTAAACTAATCTTGATGGTTAAAACTATCAGGATTGAGATTACAACTGCCAATAAAAAATTTATATAATTTATTTTTGATCAAATCTTTGACAGTTAATAATTGTCAAGAATCATTCAAACAGTCAAAATTACAATTCTTGACCCTTTTTTAGAACGGTTAAGAAAATTTATCAATTCATCTATCAAGAAATGGGGTTTTTCTATTAGTATCAATAGAAAAAATGAAATATTATTCTAAAAACTATTAGAATAATGAACCAAATATGCATGAAATTCTCACACTACTAAAAAAACCCCCTTTCTTAACTGGTAATATCTGTCAAGAAGAAGGTTTCTTAACAATTCTTCACCGTCGTTGAAGCCAATGTCAAAAAGGATGGTAATCGTTCTTAAACTGTCAATAATTTCTTAATAGATCTCTTGACAATTATTACCCGTTAAGGATTTAACCAAATTTTAACCAATCATTAACATTCTTCGAACTGTCGAGATTTTAACCAAAAAAAAATTAATTAATTAATTAATTTAATTTAAGAATAATAATAATAATCAAATTTTATTAATAATAATTTTCCATCATTGATAGTCTTAAAAATGTCAAGGATTTTTTTTGTAAATATATTTTTTTAAATATTTTTATTTTGTAATTTATTACCAATTAAATAATAAAATAATACAATGAAATTCTTCATAATATTCCTAAGCCAACAACAATTATCACAATTCATAAATAAAATTAAACATTCAACAATCTTTGAATCATACTAATTAAGTAAACGAAATTCAACAATAGTAGTATATCATTCAACAAAAGTTTAATACATATTTTTTTCCCTCATTAACGCCTTGGCATCAATGAAAACATCTATAACTAAAAAAAGGATCAATGAAAACATCTATAACTAAAAAAAGTTTGATACGTACATTGCCCATTCTCCTCTAACTTCATCGATCTCTGCATCTGTGTATATTTCTTTCCTCAAAAACAGTAAAAGATTAAACATAGATCCAAAAGCACACAATTTAGTGTTTTCCTCAAACATAGCAAACATAATGACATTATTATTTAATCAGAACTTAAACAATCTAAAGCGACACCAATCCAGCCTTAGCTTGGACTAAGCAACGATGGTTGAAATAGGTTGGCTTCAAATCGGGCAACCCCAAAATTCTACTAATTACTCTACCAAGCCCAACCTAGGGAACCGCATTCCAGTTTGAATATTTTCTCTGTGTACAAATTAGGACAAGCTTTCTCCGGCCTTAGCACATCATATTACAAAAATCAATCCATTAGGTGAAAAGGAATAAAACAGTTACGGACCAAGAGGGTGATAGAAAGAATAAGTATGATCTGAATGTGTAGTTTATAGATCACCATCACAGTCAACCAAAGTGTAAAGTTCCAAGACCATTAAGTTCAGAATGACAAGAGACATGCCTTTTTCAGTGCAAGGCCATCTCTCTCAGGAACAATTTCATGTATTGCAACCAACACTTGTACCGGAGTTAAAGCTGGACCAGTATGAGCTGAACCCTGTCATAAACAAATATGAATTCTTAGCAATTGTCGATTCCAAGACAATAGAAAAGGTGAAATAGCATGTTATAATATATAGCAATTTAAAACCCGCCATTAACAATTATGACCTCTTAGCAATTTTCATGATTCCAAGTCAAAGGGGAAGGCAAAATGACGTGAAAACATTATAGCATTTAATAATTCCGCACAAAGAAAAAACTACAAGATCGCCAAAATGAACTAAAGCAAGTTCACTGTTGAAATTAGAAAGCAAGCAAAAGAGAAATAGCGAGAAATCCAAAGCACATAAAATTGGCTTGGAACTCTAGCTTTAACAATACAACTACCAAACTCTCACTGCCACTATCGCATGACAGATCAAAGCAAGCAATTTGTTCACAATGTCTAAACATAAGTTAACTAAGCATCCATGCTTCTGATGGAAGTCAAGACACTCCTTACATATTATCTAAAACTTTAGGCTGAATTTGAATGTGTGACTTAAATCAATCATAATTTACCTCCTATCAGAAAATCAACCAGAGTCGCTTTATTTTTTTCTTTGAGAAGGATTACATAACAAAGCAATTTGACAACCACTTATAATAAGTAGGCAAAAACAAGTGGGTCCCTGAATGTCTTAACAATTCCAACAGAACCCAAACAGCAAATTATGAAGTCACGTCAAGAGAATTCATGCACACCTGTAGTATGTGAGGAAGTGTCATCTGGAAATTTTCTAATGGAAGGCCAAAAAGGCGAGGGAAAATAGGTAGCACCTGAGATCATAAAATTATTAGACCTGTGATGGTATTATTGAATTTGACATCCATAAATTAGAAACGAAACAATATTCAGTAATGCTACTTTATGCAATTAACATAAGTTATTCCAATGCAAATACAATCAAATCAGTAACATGGAAATCAGATCATATTAGAGACAACTAACAGATCTCGTTCCATATTTCTCGCTAAATGCCCTAGTGTTTTTTACTGCCAAACTTCATAAATTACTACCAAATATATCAATTATAGTTTTAAGTTGACTAACACATTTAATCCAAGCTTAATATTTCAAAAATATTGTTTCTTATAGTACAACAAATAGTCAACAGAACATATACTTTTCTTATAGGAATTACCATGAAATATGGAAGAAAAGTCAATAGAAAATATAGTATAACCATACCATCAGATGTGTGATCTTCCACATAATCAAACAAACCAATAACAACTGCCACCAAATAAGTAGACATTATTGGTGATTCTTGATATGAAACTGTTTTTTGATGCCCATCCACTTTCCCCTAAATTCAATATTAACAGTTTAGGATAGTAGACTACATTAAGATGAAAACATGAAAACAGGAGAGGAGAAGTACCTCAAAGAATATTTTATGGAAAGAACCAGAGAAATGAGTTTGATAAGCATATCTAAACCCCTCTGCACCACCANCTTATAATAAGTAGGCAAAAACAAGTGGGTCCCTGAATGTCTTAACAATTCCAACAGAACCCAAACAGCAAATTATGAAGTCACGTCAAGAGAATTCATGCACACCTGTAGTATGTGAGGAAGTGTCATCTGGAAATTTTCTAATGGAAGGCCAAAAAGGCGAGGGAAAATAGGTAGCACCTGAGATCATAAAATTATTAGACCTGTGATGGTATTATTGAATTTGACATCCATAAATTAGAAACGAAACAATATTCAGTAATGCTACTTTATGCAATTAACATAAGTTATTCCAATGCAAATACAATCAAATCAGTAACATGGAAATCAGATCATATTAGAGACAACTAACAGATCTCGTTCCATATTTCTCGCTAAATGCCCTAGTGTTTTTTACTGCCAAACTTCATAAATTACTACCAAATATATCAATTATAGTTTTAAGTTGACTAACACATTTAATCCAAGCTTAATATTTCAAAAATATTGTTTCTTATAGTACAACAAATAGTCAACAGAACATATACTTTTCTTATAGGAATTACCATGAAATATGGAAGAAAAGTCAATAGAAAATATAGTATAACCATACCATCAGATGTGTGATCTTCCACATAATCAAACAAACCAATAACAACTGCCACCAAATAAGTAGACATTATTGGTGATTCTTGATATGAAACTGTTTTTTGATGCCCATCCACTTTCCCCTAAATTCAATATTAACAGTTTAGGATAGTAGACTACATTAAGATGAAAACATGAAAACAGGAGAGGAGAAGTACCTCAAAGAATATTTTATGGAAAGAACCAGAGAAATGAGTTTGATAAGCATATCTAAACCCCTCTGCACCATCAGTATTATAGTCTACATTCTCCGAGCCTCTACTTCACCCTTCCATTAATCATAAGGATAAAAAAAAAATGATTCAGTTAATTTGAAAACCTTTAGTGTGACACAAGAATCAAAATGCATACATTTTGAAATCTTTAATATGTAAAAGTTAAGTGCCTCCTGTAAAAACACCGAACAATACTAAAGACAGACCAAAGATACCTAATGACTATAGAATCACAAAATAGAAGTGAAAGAATACATAAGTAAATGAAAAGAAAGAGAGGGAGAAAGAAGAAAAAGAGTAGTTACCATGTCATACTGAGCCCTCTTCTTAGAATCTTGCAGAATCTGCAATATACCAGAATGAGCAAATCATCATAAAGAGAATTGGAGCTAGTTGGACCATGTCAGAACAAGATCAGTTATATTTTTAGTAGGAAGAACAGAAGTTAACAATCATTATGCTAATGGACAGAGAAAACACAACTATCAGACTATATCACATCAGAAAATAAAAATAATTATTATTATTATTATTGTACTTCACAATCCAACCAAAGCTACAAACCTCATAAGCATCTCTTATCTCTTGAAATTCACTCTTTGCAAAAGGATTATTCTTATTTGCATCTGGATGATACTTCTTGGCAAGCTGCACAATTTTGTGGATGCCAACATCTTAGACAATAGCCATAAAAATAAAAGGTCTGTTAGATGATGGATAATCACATTAAACCAACTGCAGACATGATTTCCCAATGGCATAAGTGGTAGAAAAATATCTGGCAACGCTGCCAACCTCAAATACCCCTAGATTCATAGTACTAGTAAAATTAGATGCATCTCCGGTGTACCTTTCCAAGTTCCATTAAGGATTCCACAAGCAAAACTATTCCTAAAAGTAAAAATAGCCCACATAGTTTTCACCCAAACACTAAAGCCACCTATTTTAAAGAGCTAAGGAAAAATTAAGCCACTGACCCCATAAAGAACAGCTACTANCCCTATCTTCTGATATCCGCTAATTTCTGAGTCAAAAATATCCAATTTTGTGCTTATTTGCTCAAAATGTCCATTTTAACCTGAAATCCGAAAAGTAACGAATTAAGAACCAATTCAGGTCAAAATACACCAAAAAGTACCTGAAATCCGACAAAAAGATCTAATAAAAACTGTATAATTTACGGATTATCAATCATTACACATAATTATGATTTACACGATATAGAAGAATATGCCTTTTGTTGATAAATAAACATTTATTACATAGTCAATTTTATAATAATAGATTGGCTCTAGGGCACCTACTCCAACACTCTTATCTCTTGAAATTTACTCTTTGCAAAAGGATTATTCTTATTTGCATCTGGAAGATATCTTGGCAAGCTGCACAATTTTGTGGATGCCAACATCTTAGACAATAACCATAAGAATAAAAGGTCTGTTAGATGATGGATAATCACATTTAACCAAGTGCAGACATGATTTCCCAATGGCATAATTGGTAGAAAAATATCTAGCAACGCTGCTAACCTCAAATATCCCTAGATTCATAGTACTAGTAAAATTAGATGCATCTCCGGTACCTTCCCAAGTTCCATTAAGGATTCCACAAGCAAAACTATTCCTAAAAGTAAAAATAGTGCACATAGTTTTCACCCAAACACTAAAGCCACCTATTTTAAAGAGCTAAGAAAAAATTAAGCCACTGACCCCATAAAGAACAGCCAATAGTGATTGCAAGATGCCTGAAAAGAAAGAACAATCAATCAAAAGATTTTTTACACTACAGTAAGGGGTTTCTTATGATCATGATTAAAATGTAATTCCCTAACTTAAAAGCGTATTAAGTGCTCAAATACTCACAGCATGAAACGCCTTTTTTATCTCATCCTGGCTCGTATTTTTAGGAACACCAAGAACTTCGTAGTAGTCTCACTGATTGGAGTAGCAAGATCCTTGAAAATACATTACATTAGAACAATAAGAACCAAAAAAATTTAGAATGCTCACCCAGAAAAAATGGTTAAGACATACAATAAAAACCTGTAGCATGAATACAGCGCTTCGCCAATAACATTCCCGTGGTTGCAAAATCGGCATGTTTTTGAATAACAAAGGGAACAGAAATCATCCTCATCTTTAATAGCATTTTAAGAAATTCTTCTACTTCTCTCCAACATAAAATCCAAAAAATAACCAAAATGCAACAGCTCCACGAAACCAAAGCTTTTCTCCCACCAAAATCAGTGTTTGACAATAATCAGTGTTGTAGAGAGCACCTTGAGCGATGAAGTTGAAATGAAAGAATTAAAAGTTAAAACCCTATATTGAAAATATTATTGACAACAATAATCACCTTGAGCCGTGAAGTTGGATTTAGAATGAATCAGCGTTGTAGAGAGATTCTATGATTCAGTGGAAGAGCGAGAAAGAGAGATTTTGGGCAGAAGAGAAGGAAAATTTCCTGGTTTTTGGATGAAAGAATTTTGGGCGGTAGATAATTGGTTTTTGGGGGGAATCTCTTGGGTTTTTTATTTTATTGTATATTTTAATATTTTATAACCCTAAACCTTTGCCTTCATGAAAAAAATGGTGAAATGGGTGGGAAATTTGCGTTAGTGAAACTTCGACTTTTGAGCGGTGGGAAACTTTTGCCTTAATGAAATTTTTTTTTACTTAATTCATGACAGTTAAAAACTGTTAAGGATTGAGATTACAATTGTGAAGAAAAAAATTTGTATAATTTATTTTTGACTAAATCCTTGACAGTTAATAATTGTCAAAAATCATCTAAAACGATCATAAATTATTTCAAATTCTTAACAATTCATAAACTGTCAAGAATTACAATTCTTGACATTTTTTAGAACAGTTAAGAAAATCTGTCAACTCATTCTGTCAAGAAAGGATATTTTTCTAGTAGTGTAATAAATTTACATGAATGGAATTAATAAATAGCCTGAGATCTGTGGTTGGTACCTAAAACAATTCAGGGACATAAATATATGTAAACCAAAATAGTTGAAGCCTAGTAACCCTAAAGTCTGACCCCAACATGGAGAAGATAAGTAGGTTTCAAATATGACCCCAAAAAGTGAATTCTCAAGGCTTCCTCAAAGCAAACAATGGTTCTACCCTTTAAACACAGATACCTAATTGTACCATTAACTGAAAATTTTAAACCCCTGGCAAACCATGCTCAGCCACATAAAACATTTCTAAAGATTTTGAAAACTCCAAATCAGAAGAGTGATCATCACTCATCAAGCTTACTATATAAGTTCAATTTTAGAAGCAACTAATTATAGTTTGTTGCATATGTCCTCAGATTGAATCCTCAATACAGGAAAACCAACAGATAACCACAACAGTGAAATAAAAGTTCTGAATTACAAAATTTGCCAATGAATAATAATCCAACCTTTCTTCGCATGATTTAACTCCATTCGGTAAACCCTTTATACAAAAGGAATGTAATCAAATCAAAACCAAAGCAGAACAATAAAGATACACTTGTCAGAAAGCACTAAACAGAAAAATTAAACCCCCACCATTCCCTGTTTCCACTTGATTATTGTAGTAGTAGTTTTCATTGAACCTTCATCATCAAGGAAGGTGAAAATCTTTGTAAGTTTCAAATCCTCAAAATAAGGATTGGGGTTGAAGTTCTGAAAAATCAAAAGAAACTTATAAAAACACATTAGTACATCCCCCAATCGATAAAGAGCATGAACTGACATTGCTACTACTAAAGGTAAGTCTGAATAAAACGTCAACTTTGAATTGCTCACAAAATCAAGAAGAATAGCATAAATAAACTTACAAATGTGATAAAGTATCCAAATTTGATATCTTTAAAATCCTCCACCTCCAAAGAGCTCAAGTGCCTAAATATCTATCAAGGTAAAAAGGAGAGCAGACGGACAATTAAAATTTTTAAGCAGAAAAACAAATCAATTGAAGAACTAGACAACTACTTTTCCAGCATCATGGTTAAAAGTTGATGTGCTTAAATAAATCTAACAGTGTAATAGTAGTTCAATTTCTTAGGATAACAAAAATGGAAGCTGTAAAATAAATTACTGCAAAAATTCAACATCAATTCATAAGAGAGCAACATTCAAACCTTTTGATCCTCATCACTCAAAATTTCACTGTTAGGATCCCACATTGAAAGGGAAATGGGTGGGCATGTGAGTTATAAAGGCTTGGGCACCCTCCCTTGGTAAGCCAGTTTTCCAAGGAGAGTTCTACTCAAGCCCATGAAAGACTCAGACCAAATTGTTGAGTTATTGGAGTGGGTTCCTATCAAAGTGGTATTAGAGCATAGTAGCGATCGGAGTATGGTTAGAACAAGGATGGAAAACATATTAGATATTGTGGAGAAGGACATGGGAACGATGAGGGACTATTTGCTGGAAATCCAAGCTTGGATTAGACGCAAAGACGAGGAAGAAGCTAGGAGAGCTGAAAGGGGTGGGTCGACAGAAATACTGGTGAACCTGAATCCAAACACAAGAGAAAGAGAATAAGGAACCTAACCCAAATGCAAACAGTGAAAACACAGTGACTAGACGAAGTCGACTAGAATTTGCTGGCCGGAAAATCAAAATGCCAGTATTCATGGGTGAGGATCCTTATGGGGGGTTATTTAGGATCGAATGATACTTTAATGTGTATCACGTGGCGGAGGAGGAACGATTGAACACGGTGGTGGTGTGTATAGAGGGAGACGTGATAAATTGGTTTCAATGGATGGAAATCCATGCTCCAATCACATCATGGCCTGTGTTTAAATTCTTTTTTCTTCATCGATTTGGTGGATCCCAAAAAGGAGGACCATATAAGGCACTGATGGGAATCCGAAAGACTGGCTCTATGGAAGATTACCGCCATAAGTTTGAAGCACTCTCTGCACCATTAAGAGATGAGAAAGAAGACATACTGTGGGTTGCTTTCCTAAATGGACTCAGGCCAGAAATTAAAGCTGAAGTCAGATTGGGCCAACCCAATTCACTAATCTAACTGATTGAATTGGCCTAGAAAATAGAAGAGAAAAATTGGGCCTTGGATGAATTGAAGAATGGGCTAAGTAAGGGTGTAAGGCCCGGAGGGATAAATGGAGTTAATAGAATGGCTTGGACTCATAATAGTAGGTCGGGTAAGAGTTTGGGGCATCATGAAAACGGGTCAAGGAATTCATATATGTCTAACCCGATGACACCTTCATGTAACGCAAATGAAAATGCAAACCAAAACCCAAATTTTAATGCGTAAACAGGCCGAAATTGGAATGATCGACATGTCCATGCTGTTCCGAGCGACAGCCAATGCGGTAGCAATAGCTTTGCTCAACGACCACCGACCAGTTTGAATTTCAGAAGGGAGTTTCCTTTCAAACAAATGACAGAACTCGAGATTCAGAGAAAAAGGACGCATGGGATATGTTTTCGGTGTGATGCAAAGTTCTTTCCAAGCCATCGATGTGGGGACAAACAGTTCCACGTCATTCTGATTGATGAGAAGGATAACCAGGATGAGACGAACAAGGGTGGGGGTGAGTTGAGTGAATCTATCATAGAACAACTTCAAGATGACTCGGAGCTCTTGATTAGTTCTGTTGTGGGTATTTTGGGTCCAAAAACTATGAAAGTGAAGGGTAAAATCAGAGGGGCTAAAGTGATAGTGTTGGTTGATAGTGGAGCCTCACAAAATTTTATAAGCAAGGGTGTGATAGAAAAATTGGGGATATCAGTGATGCAGACGTAGACTTTCGGGGTGAGAATTGGTGACGGTTATAGAGTGCGATGTGAGGGAGAATGTATAGAGGTGCAATTGGATATCCAAGGAGTTCCAATTATACATAATTTTTTTCCCATTTGAGATGAATAGTGCAAATGTGGTTCTGGGTATTGCTTGGTTGGAAACTTTGGGGGAGACAATAGTCGATTGGAAAACACAAGTGATGAA